ACGCAAGTCCTTTCACATGCGTTGTTAAGTAAGTCACTATTTTTTGACAATGCAGCAACGGAGAATCACACATGCAGCCTTTCTTTCTATAGTTGCAGCAAGCGGAGTTTTACGAACTTTAAATTTCCAAATTTTAAAATATGGACTAGGGCAATTTCTATATATCACGATAAAAGTGAGTAATTTTGATTGCTTTGTTGATCACCGTTGCAGTGTAAGCGTTCCTGAGTTTGACCGCACATAACCCAACACTGTTACCTCAGGCGGTCTGATTGAAAAATATATGGCTCTCTAAAACTGTCTTCGAGAATATTTTTTGACTTTCTAGCAAATCCAGCAGATAAATAAAATATATATGGCTTTGGCATATCTAACTATTGAAAATCTAGAAAGCCCTTGCTTATTTCTTTCGAATAACAATTTGTGAGCATATGTGGATTTTTAACGGTTCCAATTTAAGAAAATTTTTTTTAATCATTTTGTGGAAGCTATCTTCGTACCCAGCTCTTTTTCGCAGTTTTCGCGTAGTAGAGGGTGTATTCAATTTTGATTATTTTCCTGGCATAGCATAGAATGCATAGTTATTACAGCGTGGTATTTTTGTCTCAAGATTTTATTGCGATCGAAAGAATGAGGTAAGTAGATTTGTGTTATTTTTACTTATTTAGCGTTACTATACATCGGATCAAGCATAGGCCGTCGAATCGTGCTAAATTACACGGTGTTTGTGGGCTAGAGTTTAGGGGCCGGTTGTTCGAAAGGCGTTAACACTTAAGCTTAAACAGTAAGTTCAAAATAGAAAAAAATTTATCGAATTTATTGAACCGGGCAAAAAAATTTTGATATAAATAGTTTAATTTTAAAAGTGCTATTTTAACGCATAAGATGCAAGTTCAGTCATTCACAAGATGTATGAGAGTACATATTTTTAAACTTTGGCTTATCCACCCGGTTAAATCTAAACGCCTTTCGAACAATCGACCCCTGAATTATGTGTATATAGGTCTTCAAAAGATGATAGTTATGATTCACATGCATGGATTTATTCAAACATATTTGAAGTTGTCCCTAAAAATTTTGCACAAATGATAAATTTAGTCAAATTTACCATAGAAAATTGACTATAATGAATCTTCACTCATATCATACCACAAGTGTTTTGTAAAAAAATACAAAAATTTTTGAAAAGGTTTTGCACTAGATACTAGAAGGGCGTCTATAAGATAGGGCGTCTATCTAAAAACTAAATAAACAAACTGGTTCTATTTATAATAAAGCGACATACCTTTTGAACTACTAGCATCATCATTTGAATCTAAAACACTTTTCGATTTACAAAATTTAACCTAAAGTATTAGAGTAAATTAATATAACTAACTAAAAAGTAAAGCAAATATGTATAAAGTTTATGATTCACTTGCAAAATTGCTTAAAAAATATTCACAAGGCTTTTTTGTTTTAAAGATGAAGGAAGAGAATTAACAGCTAAGCTGGTATTTTATTTTTTCTGGATCTGCCCCTCTTCCCTCTCTCTGCCTTTATAAGGATAAATGCAATTTTTAACACAAACTTACAAATAGTTTTTTTTCTTTTTTTTGCTTCTTCAAGCTGTAATCTGTTTAAAATACACAAGTCAATTTTATGAACTTTGTGAATATATCATATTTGGTAAGTTCTTATACTCTTAAATCCATTTTAAATGGAAACACTTCCAAATATTCAGGATCTTAAGCATTTTTTGTTTTGTACCAACATTTAGCAATCTTTGGAAATTTTGTTTTTGCTTGAATATATATAGCTTATAGAAATATGTTTTCTTACCAGGACCTCCTTTAATGTTTTGTGTTGAGGCATTATCTTTGATATTCGCCACTATAGGTTTTTTGGCCATTGATATTGTTGGTTTTTTCTGTTTTATGGATAGATATGGAGATAAATAATTCAGTGTACCATTTCAGCTAGAGCATGAGAGCATTCCCAAATATAATGATCAACCTACTTTGAGAAGGCTCCTTGGTTTATTTTGTGACAAGTGTGTTTCTAAGACATAAAAAATTATATGTTATCGTACAAACCATTTAAAACTCAACATGTAAATTTTTAATATCATTTAGTAAATATCTATTCATTGCAGGAAATAACCTGTAAGTAATTAACATGAACATATACAGCAACTGGCAAAAAAATGTTCTCCTTTAGGAAACACTAATCATCTATAATAGACTATAAGACAATGTATATTTATATATATATATATATATATATATATATATATATATATATATATATATATATTTATAATAAGGCCAACCTTGCATTTTCCTAGTTATGATATTAGGTATCAGTCAATATTGCAAAACAAAGTTTTTGTATACCTTTAAATTCATACTCATTCTCTTCAGAGCCAGAGTCCATGTCTAGTAAAATGGATAAAAATACTATGTAATACTTTGTTTAAAGCGATCATGTGTTATATATATGTGCTGTCTTTATGCCAGTGTGTTTTAAGAAACAAGAATGGCTTTACCATCGTTTTCGCTTCCTGTACTCGGCTCATAGTCTTCGTCACTGTCATCCTGCTGTAAATGTTGTTATTGTAAATATAATAGTATATGCAAATTGGCATTGCAAGCTATATACTTATCACTCACCCAAATACCAGCAAATATAAATAAACTATAAAACTGCGTGGAAAGTCACATACCTTATGTCTTGTACTCGGTTCGTGTATATTGTGAGACGAACATGGGTTTTCTAATTAAAATCAAAGGCGAATTCAGTTATTGTATGGATTTTGTGATATTGTAGATCAGTTTGATATATTTCACATCCATCCACCCATATCTGTCTGTAATTGCGCATTTTTATATACGGCGCTATACACATCATGCAATAAATCCCGAGGGATTTTACTAGATAACTTTGTTCGTGTTATGTTTTCATTATAACTTTGGGCGTTCTTGGCACAGTATGCAATTCGAGCCAGGGAAATTTTTATGCACGAATTGCAATCATCAGCCTGCTAATCTGTACTAGCTATAGTCGTAAAGCACATTTCATATTTACCAATATTAAACAAAAATTAAATGACTGCAATGCTGCGATGTTACAATATTACAATCGCTTCAGATTTCTGTCGGGCGGTATTTTTACGTCTTGGGCGGTTTTTCTATACACTCGCGCAGTTTTTAGTAGGACCGTATAATTGCGTTCCTTTAGTGCAATCCGGATTCGGATTTTCAATTTTTTTTTTATTTAAGAAAATCTTCTAAATATATATATATATATATATATATATATTATATATAATATATATATATATATATATATATATATATTATATATATATATATATATATATATATATATATATATATATATAGTCTATATATATATTATAAATCAGAAAAGTGCATACACATTACAAGTCTATATATATATTATAAATCAGGAAAGTGCATACACATTACAAACCTGAAGTGTCTGTTGTTATTGCTTGTTTGAATCCTGTAATATAAGGTTGTAGAACACATTTTAAAATAGTCAAGATTCAAGACTTCTATTTTCTAATTTTAATTTATTCATATCCGGCTGTAAGTAATGATGTTTTAGTATCTCAATGATGAGAGTTTTGGTGGTCTTTGGGTACAACCGTGAATGTTTACTAGCGCTGCTGCTTGGGTAACAAGGAATGTTTTCGCTTAGCGCTAAAACTGTTTAAAATCATTCCATTTCGCTTTGTTTATAATACATATATATGTATATGCTTTATGTACATTAGGCTGGCCGCAAGTTTAAAACGCCTTTTTCTGAAATCCATAAATTATATACATTAATATATTTACCTGTATCTAGGCACTTGTAGCATGTGACAGCCTGTCCATACCCTTCTTCCCCAACTCCCTCACCACAGAATACGTGGACAGAATGATGACACACAACGCATACGTGGGAGCCGGACACTTCGCCAAAGCAGACATGGCAGTTTCCATCTGTTATGTCTAAGTAAATCAATTTTATAATAGTAAGGAATTGGGGAGGAATTGCATTATGTTCGCCTGCTAGAAATTTAAGGACCACAGAAAAAAATATAATATTAACCCAACGATCCTAACGTTATTTCTTAATTTATCATGAAAAATGAAGTAACATCTGAACTTTCATTTTCCTTTTAGCTGCATTTCTGGCACATTAAGCTTATTTTTTTACCTGTCACTGATTGGTTGGCATGACCAAGTGTCGGTGGCACACCAATGCAGTGTGTTCCGTCTACAGAATTAATTAAATACGAAATCAGGTTATCCGTTACCGTACGATGATTGTGTGTTCTGTATCCCTTTTAACAGGCGAAGATGAAGATATAATGGTATGTATGCCAAACACACTTCCGCTTAAAAAAACTACCTTAAAAAACTTCACAGACCATAGACAGACACAGACTCACAGACACAGACTTCCAACATTAAGAAATAATCTTTGAGTTCGTATATTTCATACGTCAACCAAGGAAAATTTTATGGTAGCACAGAAAAATGGGAGAGGATTCATTGTTATTCTAAAACTGTGATATTATAATATCAAATTATTACTATGAGATAAGAAAGATAATGAAATGGTATGGGTAAATTCTGAGAGGAAATATTGACTTTGTCATTTGCCGTGCCGGAAACACGGCACCAACTCGGCACGTAATAAAGCGTTTAAGTATCGAAATGTTTCATCTTGCTTAGGTGAAATCCGGCTCGATAACAGGTCACAGCTCGTCTTATATGCATGACTTATTTTGTACCTATGGCGTGCTTGGTCCATTTTCCATCACTTGACACCCCCCAGTCACGCCACTGTTACAAACATTATAAAAAACAATTAAATTCACAAATTACCCGTCACCACCGGATCTTGACGGTCACGAAGCTTTCCTTCTAGTTGTCCATTATTTTCTTCTTCAGAATTGATCAAGATACAATCAGGTTACTGCACAATATTTATAAGTTCTGAATCTGAACATGGTGCTCTAGAGGTATTGCTATTAACAGATTGAATCAGCCTGTAATATAGTAATCGCTCTTTTTACTAATAATTTATGTATGTATTGGCCACTATCGTGCTGCAATTCAAAACATACCTTCCATAGCTATGTCGTCGCAATCATGGGGTGTCCGGTGAAAAGAAGCACCCAATTGTTCATAATGCATCCTTTGAGAAGCGGTGCCTAATTGTTCTTTATTTTTTTCTATAGAATTGAGCAAGATTCAATCAGGCCACTGCACATTTTTTTTTATAAATTCAGTATGTGGATGAAACGGTGCTCTTAGAGGTATTAGAGACCATAACGGCAAACGCCAAACTAGTAACAAACTTTTTTCTTAACTAGCGCTATCTTAATTAGAACGTGCATTTTAAGCATTAAATTTTACACAGCAAACATGAAACACATACGGCAGGCAAAGCTGAATTTGCTGCATGTTTGCTGAATACATCAAGCAATGGCCTATTGCATGCTTTCTCATATTACTGCTGAAAATCACGAGTTTTATGTTTATAATTAAGTGAAATTGTTGCACACTTTAAAATTGTGGAGCTAAGACGCAAAGTTTTTTGGAGGTTTGGTGTTTGGCGTAAACGTCATGCTTAAGGTCTCTATTGCTGTATTTTTTACTCAAATAATTAAATGCAAACAGTAATCGCCTTTTTTACCAATTTTGTATGCTGTTGTACAATTTCAGGTGCAGATAATATAAAACACTGCAAAAATCATAGTGCTGGATTTACAACGTACCTATCACAACATCTTGATCATCAACAAGCTTTCCCTGATGAGCGGCGCACTTTTGGTGGTTATTTTCTTCTACAGAATTGATCAATATACAATTAGGCTACTGAAAAATGTTTTATAAATTTAGGATCTGAATATAACATGGTGTTATAGAGGTAATTGCTGTATATTTTTATTCCTAGAATCGAATTAGCCATTACTATTTAACCGTTCTTTTACCGATTCTTTTCATGTCGTCCGTTTTCATGCTAGAATATGGCAAAACACAGCAGGAATAATAGTCCTGTATGGAATTCACAAGTTACCTGTCATTACTACTACATTCTGATGATCGAAGAGCGTTTTCTTGAGACCAGCGTCTAGAATTTTCATTATTTTCTTCTATAGATTTAATGAAGGTACAATCAGGTTACAGCATAATGTTTTACAGATTCGCTATCTGCATAATATGGATTTATTGCCATGTAGTATACTTTGGCCTTATACTTCGGGAATTAGCACTATAGAATTAATAGTAGAGTACCATGATGTTCTAATGGATTAATATTTTCGACTTAGGATGGAATTAGCTTATGCTATTACAGGAATGACGGTACTCAAATTCACAATTTACCCCTCACTATCACGTTTTGACAAGCGGTTCCTGATTGTTCAACATTTTCCGCTACAGAATTAAGGAAAATACATTGAGGTTACTACTGTACGATGTCCGTTTTGGACAAAGCATTATATATCAGTATACAGTATAGAAAGATGTAAACATTTTTCTCTATATTTGTGAATAATTATTACTGGTTCTGATTATTCTTGTTCATTTTTAGGTTTGAATGTTGTAAGACATTGCAAAATTAAGAATGATGATGGTACTAAAATTTACAATTTACCTGTCATCACCACTTCTTGACGATCGTAATGCATCCTTCGAGAAGCGGTGCCTAATTGTTCCTTATTTTTTTCTATAGAATTGAGCAAGATACAATCAGGCCACTGCACATTTTTTTATAAATTCAGCATGTGGATATAACACAGTGCTCTTAGAGGTATTAGAGACCTTAACCTTAAGACTCCAAACTAGTAACAAACTTTTTTCTTAACTAGCACTATCTTAATTTGAGCGTGCAACAATGTTGTTGAATAGCAGATACAATTAGGTTACTGAGAAATGTTTTATAAATTCGGGATGTGAATAAACCTGGTGTTATAGAGGTATTGCTGTATACTTTTTATTCCTAGAATCGAATTAGCCATTACTAATTAACCGTTCTTTTATTAATTCTTTCATGTCGTCCATCTTTATGGTAGAATATGGCAAAACAAAGCAAGGATTAATAGTCCTAATAATTTTCTTCTATAGATTTAATAAAGATACAATGAGGTTACAGCATAATGTTTTATAGATTCGTTATCTGCATAAGATGGATTTATTTTCCTTGATATGGTATGGTCTCTTTTCCACTTATTGAAACTATATGTGTTATAGTGTCATAACCCTAAAAGCTGAGTATGACGAAGCTATGTCCATATTTTGGCCATTACAACCATTGCACCTTTTTGTCTAGGTTGAATTGCTTACACTCACATAATGTATTTTATTCACTGTATTTTCAGGTACATGATTCTTTGGAATCCTTGTCTATTTACATGTTTACCTTCTTTCATGAGTGATGTGTTGCCGTTCCATGCCTTCAGTTTTTCAGAGTATATTTCTGAATGGAAAATATGGGAAGAATATTGACATATGCATGTGAAAGAGTGAGAAACAAATAGGCTAGTATCATTTCCTTGCAATTCAGTTGAATATTAAGTTTATGATCCTTGAATATTTGATTTAGGGCCTGTTTATATGATCCCGTCTAGCCGGGACGGGACGTTTCCATCCCGCTTAGCCGGGAAACTCGCCTAGGCGGGATGGCGTGTTTATATGGAGTGAATCAGTTTAAAAATAGACTGAAAGCGCGGGAAATTCGAACAGGTATATATAAACATTCAAGATGGCAAATGCGATGCGCCTATATGTTTTTTTGTACATTATTCCGTGTTTTTTATTTATCTTCCAAATGTTTGGCGCTTTATGTGTTTTATTAGAGTATGTAAATAAACGAAATACAATTATCTTGTCTCTGTTAATGTCGAATCGACGGCATTTATACCGAAAAATGAAAGCAAAAAGAATATCTCAGCTGAGACGAAATCGTCGAGAAATTTGGTTTAAAAAAGGAAGGACTGACCAGTGGTGGAATAACTTGTTGGGTGGTAGGTTGGCGGATGAAGAATGGCAAAGAAATTTTCGCTTAACACGGGCTGCATTTTTTGAACTAGAAAAAGAGCTACGAATGTACATTTCACCTGACCCTAGTTCTCCAAATTACAGAGCATTGTCAGCTGAAAAAAAATTGGCAATAACACTTTACTATCTTAAGGACAGTGGATCCCTTCGAATGACAGCAAATACCTTTGGTGTTCACGTATGCACGGTTTCGAAGACAATATACGATGTATGCAGAGCAATAACTTATCGATTAGGTCCCACATATATCAAATTGCCACAAAATGAAGAACAGATGCGAAAAAAGGTAGCGGAATTCGAAGCAAAGTATGGGTGTATCCAAGCTTTTGGCTGCATAGACGGCACGCATGTTGCTATCAAAAGGCCAACGGAGAACTCCCAAGATTATTATTGTTACAAGGGATTTTTCTCCTTAAATGTCCAGGGTGTTTGTGACTATAGGGGACAATTTATGGACGTTGATTGCAGGTGGCCTGGCAGCGTTCATGATGCGAAAGTGTTTGCCAATTCAATCATTAACCGAAAGCTAAGAGATGGAGAGTTACCTATGACATACCAGCACCTGATTAAAGGTGGTTCTAAAGTTGGGTGTTATCTAATTGGTGACCCTGCATACCCCTTAACCCCATACTGTATGAAGGAGTATCAAACTTGCACCTCTAATTCGCAAGTTATTTTTAACAATATTTTGCGTTCAGCCAGAAATCCAGTTGAGTGTGCTTTTGGAAGATTAAAGGCCAGATGGAGATTCCTCACAAAGCAAATTGATCTAAACCTGGATCTGCTACCAACTGTAGTGTATGCATGTTTTGTACTGCACAATTTTTGTGAACAGAAAAACTGTTTTGTTGACCAAGAATTAGTTCAGCAGCAGTATGAAGTACAAATCAATAACCAACAACTTGCAAAAAATGTTCCTCACCATGTTTTTTCTGGAAACTTGGATGAAGGTGATGTCATTCGAAATATAATTACATCTTACATTGAGAAAAATCTTACAAAACAGTGACTGAATTGTACTTGCAAATAGAAACATGCAAATGTAACATATATGTATTTTCAGTACCATACAAACTGCAGAACAAAACGGATTACACCTATAACTAAACACCTTTCTTAATTGTTATGAACAATGAATGTAAAATATACTGTTGAGTTTTTTTTGTACAATGTTGTAAAATATACTGTTGAGTTTTTTTTGTACAATGTAAAAAATAATAACCCAAAAATATTAACATTTCATCTTGAATGAAATGTCATTTTAAATATACTGTTAAGTTTTTGTACAATGAAAAAAAATAACAACCCAAAAAATATTAACATTTCATATATTGAAAACAGCTAGCCTGTCCATCATTGTTGTGTATACCCATTGCCACAAGGCCCACAACCATAACGATTAGCCTGTTGCATAGGCATGTTTGGATTACCCATTTCAAACATAGGTGGATAAGCAGCAATATGACCATGAGAAACAGAGTTAACTTGCATGGGGAGGGTTGGTGGTGCTGTGTTAGAGGACTGTGCTGCTACTTCCAGACTCCTTGCCAAAACAGCACTCATTTGAACCATTGCTTGTGTGAAACCCTGAAAGCCTTCAGCAATGCACTTTGTTGAATCTTTAATGGCATCTGTCAAGTCTTTCCGAAAGGATTTATCCTCTTTGGCTTCTTCAAGCAACAAGGCATCACGTTGCCTGGCAGAAAGGGCTCTTTCCATATGTTTTCTTTTGTTATCAATTAACTCTGGCACAATTGATGCATGAATATTTTCATTGGAGCAATCTAATATAGAAATATAAAATATTTTTAAGTATGATTCATACAAAAAATACCAAATATGTTATGTACCAGTAATTATTTGTAGTTATATACAAAATTTGCTCTGTTATACCCATTTTAACTTATCTGTTACCAGTCAGTTGGGCTGATATTTTGTGAACACCAACAACAGATGGCAAAAGTAAAACTAATTGTCTTTCAAAAAAAACAGCACTATTATGATGCAATGACAATTTTGCATACAGTTCTTGCCTTTAATTGTCTATACTCACCTTTGTCAAGATCATCATTGGCACTTTCTTCTTGAAACAAAGCATCAGATTCTTCATTATCATTAACAGTTGAACTGTCTACACCAGTAGACAATGGTTCTGTGTTTGGTGATCCTCCCCAAATTTGTATTAAGGTGTCATAATGATCATATACTAACTTGCCACTTCCACTACGCTTTCCAGCTAGGAGAGCCTTTGAAAATCCTTGAATGACAAAAAAAGTAATTGGCTTGACAAATTAAAGCAAAAGAATATTTAAAAAAATACAATTACAAATATAGTCTTACAAAATATAATTTAATGGTTTCACTCTTTTCACACAGTGGCAATATTACGCTGGAAGGCTTGCCTGGTGATTTCATTTGATGAGGCAGATTTAGTACAATCTTAAACTAAAGAAACTATTAAACCTACCTTGTCTTATCTGTTTAACCTTCTCCAAAACTCTTTGATATCCACGGGATATTTGTGATTTCTCCTCCTTAATTTGTCTTTCATAATCCTTCTTTTCCTTCTCATCAAAGAATTCTGGAAAGCTGTTAGGAATGGCAATAGGGCCAAAATACGATTGGTTCTCTTCATATCTTTTTGCCATTTCTTTCCTTAGCCATTCATATTGTACGGCTTTATCGGCGTCAAAATCTACGCCTCTAAATTCACAATTAACTTTATAGCTGCGCAAAAGTTCAACCAACTGAGCATGCATATCTTCCGTCCATTTAAAGGATGGGCGTTTCCTCTTTTCTGGATTACCTCCAGTTGCATTTCCTGGTAGTTCGTTCGACGCCATGTTTTTTTATTGTAGGTAACGAATATACGCATGCTCCAAAGTTATGTTTATCGCGAAATCATCCCGGCCAAGCGGGATGGAGTGTTTATATGGAAAATTTCTCGTCCCGTCTGAGCGAGATCCCGGCACTTCTTGCCGGGATCCCGCCTAGGCGGGATGGAAGAGTGATCATATAAACACTAATTAGTGTTTGTATTACAAGCGGGATCTCGGAAGCCGTCCCGTCCCGGCTAGGCGGGATCATATAAACAGGCCCTTAAAAGAGTGAAATGTTTGGTCTGCTTTTGTCAGATATATTTGCGAATTACAGCTTTAAGATTATGTGTACACTGAAATTGCGAAAGAAACAGTACCTAATTTTGAAAACTTCACAGTTTAAAGTTGTTGTTTTTTTCTTTCAACTTGTTTGCTCTGACAAAAATGTTGACTCTTTTCGAGTCGTTCGCTCTGACAAAATGTTTATATAAAATTTTTCACCTCTTTTGTATAAATAAAGTTGAAATTCTATTCATCTTATTCTCTGTTTTTTATACCATGTGTCCATGTATAAGTTTTTATTTATACATGTAAACGTAAAAACTGTTTGTATGCTCCTCGCATGAGTCAACTCGCATACTAAGGCAGAACATAAACAAACTAGCTATATAGTAAACAATTAAAAGGCGTGTTGGTACAAGAGAAATAGAGAAACGTTCGAAAAAGGATAAGTATCTATGCATCACTGCCATGTAACAAAGTTGAGACAGAACTATTTCACTAAACGTGAAAGACGTTTTAGGTTATACAGGGTAGCGTTACGGGGTGTTAGGTTGCTAGTTTTCACTCTTTTCAATTATCTCTTGGTGAAGCTGCGCATTGAACAAAGGCATAATCTTACATTGACAGGGGGTGGCGAGAAGGGTTCATTAGGTTTGAAAATTTCATTGCTAGATAATAAGATCAATAGAATGCCGGCAATTTTCGTGCCGGTATATGTGTATAATTATGGAAAGCCGAACGCATAACAGAAAAACAGCTTTTAGTCCTTTACATTTTAGCCTGCGCGCAGCCCAACGAAAAATCTCCTCACTTTGCTGGGGGGAAAGTTTAACTGTACGTAGGCTATTAAATTATGCAACCTTGGTGCCGGGGTTACTTTATAGTAAGTACCTTCATTTATTTTCTTCATTACTTCGCCGAAGTAATTTTTCGGTTTTCTCTTGCAGAGTTCTGAAATGAAAAAGTCTTACATCAGTCTTAATAGAGTGAGGGAATTTAATGGAGTTTTACGGTCTCCATTCTGATTGCTCATTGGACTGCGAAGAATTATTGTCAGACCAAAAAATATGCATTTAATCAATAATCAAATGTATTTAATCAGTAAGCATTTGCAATCACTAATGGCCAGCAATCGTGTATAGTGCAATCAAGTCTTCGTTAGGTGTAGAGATTTATTTTACATGACTAATTTCTAAAATCTTATAAAAATAAAGATGGCCATATTTTGTACTTCCTTCACTATAAGCATTTCAAGTCGACACAAATAATCCTTCGTGATTTAGGAAGTTCTAAAAGTTTATCTTGCTGATGTCAGCATTATTTTTAAACACCGTACTCCATCCTCCGTTTTCCTTCGTGAAAATAAGGTAAAAAACGCAGGCGTACTCCTAAAACGGTACACCATTTACATCAAGAAAATAATGAAGGTTCTAATCACGGACAGCCAGAAGAGGGAGAAACAATTTGCCCTGAGCCCAGGTGACCAGATCTTCAGGGCCCAGTTTCATGCATGTATTGAGGAAGGATGTTTTTGTTCAGTTTCATGCATGTATTGAAGAAGGATGTTTTGCATCTTTGCACGTGGCTCGTGAGAGTAAAACTTTTGTGATGTTGAAATGTTGTGACGTATTACCGAAAAGGTGTATTTGATTGCATTAACAATTCATATTTGATATCGTAAAAGATCTTACCCCGAAACGGTGGAAATCACATTTGCTATCCTCTAAATTTCTAACGTTTAGTTTAAAATCTCAAAAACTAACCCTACAAATGCTATTCGAGGTAGCTTCACACGATGCATACACAGTGGTGCAAAACTAACCATGCTTTTTCTGTGATCCGCTTGATAGGAAGCACATTTCAAGCGGAACGCTAACGTTGGCCTAATGCGAACTATTATAAGAATTAATGCAAAAATTTTTGAGCAGATTTATCCAAAATTTATAAGACATGTGTTAATGAAGTGCCCTCTCTAAAAACCAACTAAAGACTCGAGAAAATAAGGCTTGTGGTAGTATATTGGAAATTCTTCAATTTTGAAAATGAAAGCACACCACTAACTGAGAACGTAGCAATCATGATCATACAATAACATCAGATTATAACAATCCAATAATTAGTTACAGTATCTGCCACGTGCAGCGGATAGTACGGATACAGTCAAATGCTGCACACGTCAGAAATGAGAAATCAGAATTGGCGACTCCTGCCTGTTTATTTCTAATTTTTCTTTTGGTTAGGGACAAAAATGAAAAAGTAAGGTACCAATAATTAAAACTTTGATATGTAATGTAATAACCTTTATTGCGTTTGTTGGCAAGATTATTTTGCTATCATGCTGTGTGGTCTTGCTTCACGTTTGTACCTTTGCTTTGAGACCAAGAGTTTTGTAGTACCAGTAATACTGGATTTAGGCCGAAGTTCATGTTAATATTTTAAGTTGGATGTGAACAAAGTTTAAGAATTGGTAGAGTAAATATTCTACTGAAATGGCTATGTTACATAAAGCTTTTGAATTCCTGGCGAGTTTCATAACCGGCCGTACTCCAAAAGTACCGTTCGCGGGATATTATTTACCGTCTTTGTCAAATGTGACTGGTGACCCTACAGAGCTTTATTGCCCGAATGACATGGTAGCCAAATACCCATATTACTGTCTGTGATCAGTTCTCCCTTTTAGCCTTCAAATGCAGTGCAACAAGTGCAGATATTTTTGGTTGGTCGTTCTTGCATGGGGAGTAACAAGTGCATAAACCATTATGTTTATGGCACTTAGAATGTGCCATATTACTTAATTGGCTATGCCATGCAAGAAAATTTCAAATGTGTATTATGTATTTCAGATATGTCATAAGCAAGGCACACCTTAACCCATAAGGGGCCGTCTACCAATAGATTTTGTCCTGCATGTCACAATCCCATGCAATCTAGTGAATGTTTTATTTGCTTTCGCATTGGCCATGTCAGTGGTAAGACAATAAAGTACATTTATCAATGTTGTTGTGGGCACCAGCTAGCTGACATAAGATAGGACCATTGTTTGGGGTGCCCCATTGCATTGTTTCAAATCAAGAATACTAGATACTACAGACAATTTTGTACTGTCTGGACCTTGCAAGATAAGGTAGTTCAATACCTTTTATCCTACGCCATGGCAAGTTCTTCACGCCGTAATCATAGCGTAGTTCCTCATTCTTTGATATTTTCTTTTTAGCGAAGAGGGCTAAATGATGATGGCCATCCACAATTACCTTCTTGATTAGGCTATTGGCCAGTTTAGTCTCACTGTCATTGACCATTCTGCCAAGGCCCGTTGCAAATGTTGCATCAACACTTTATAAAGGTAAAATATCATATAAGCTTGATGTTATCTGACAGAAAAGAGGTTGAGGCAAATACCTAATTTTATATAGTCCTTGATGTATCTTTATGAAAATATAAAACCTACCAGAGAAAAGAGAGTCAAAAAAGAACAAGAAGCTGCCAAGATCTTTTTTGTAGGCTTCTTCACGCCTAGCCCCTTCCTCCTTTTTAATCAATTCCCCCTTATATTCAAGGAGGAATTCTCCTTTTTCGAATTCCCGTTTTGTGAAGACCCCATAACCTATTGTATAATTAAAAACAAAATTCTAAATTAGCAGGGTGAGGAATTTCTGTTTGGCCTAATTTTGGACTTATTACATTCAAACAGGGTGTTCAAATTTCCTATATAAGCTATAGTTCTAAAGCAACATATATAGAGCAGGCTAGTTAATTAAGACTTAAGTGTATATACCTATGATGTTATTAATATATCTTTTCTCAAGGTCTTCACTATCCTTGGGCAATTTCTCATTGTTGGGCTCTTTTTGTCTCTGCAAAGCAAGCATCAAGGTACGTACATTATGAATTTTCACAGATATATATATATTAATATATATATATATATATATATATATATATATATATACACCCATTTGCAAAAACAATGGCAGCAGATAGATAGATAGATAGATAGATACTCAAAATCTAATTAGAATTGCCTGGAATTATATTTTGTTTAGAGCAATTAATAATTGGTTCAAGGGTTCAATATTGTTCACTTGTTGACTTTAATTAACATTTTACTTTTTAAATTTCCAAAAAAATTAATATAGTTAACTGTAACTGCATGTGCACAGTACTAAATGCCAAAAATTCAGCTATTAGTAGGTCGATTATAATTTGCCTTTATTGCTCATTGCAGAGAAAGTTACTCTTAATGTTTTGAGGTAGCATTTCCAAATTTTTTACTCAGCAATGCATTTCCAAACAAATTATATTGTATTCTAAACCAAATTGTATTGTTTAAAATGTTTGAAAGCTGAAAATGCAGAGCTAACATAAACCTTTGCCAGCATTATATTACCCCAGGAACTTTATTATACCACAAGTTAAGAGAAACAAAGAGGGCAAATTGCAAAGTCTAAAGACTAAAGATATTATTTGGTGTAAACAGAGTCTAATTCAGGAAGTTCCTATTGGTTGATTATATAAATGTAATGAACACAACATGTACATATCAAATAATTTTTCTCTATGTTCCTCACATATACCAACACACATTTGTTTTTTCAGGGTTATTTGCAGTGTCTATTGTACTTTACATCCAGCAAGAGGTGAGTCAATGCACAATTTTTTGTAGAGCATAAACCAGTTTTGTGGCAGATCAAAATAAATTACATTGCTTTATTTTAGGGGCAAAATTTTTTTATCCAACCCAGATTATCTGATAATACTTCAAATAGAATATAAGATATTCCCATTGTTGAACAATGAATGATTTTGTATGAATCAAATGTGGTATAACAACTGCCTAATATAGACAAAAACACTTCTCTGCCATGCTGCATGCTCCCTTGTTATATAAGAGTCTATTTAGTTTGATTTTAGGTAAATATTCTAAACAACAGTCCGCATGTATTTTCCAGAGATACATTTTCATAAACTTCATTTGTGGATTTGCATTAATCAAAATGAGGCTGACTGAGATCTGAACGATTGTAAAGAGGCTAACCATTTATTGAACAACTACGCACTATTACTGCCTAGCTTAAACAGGCTTTAAACAACTTGACCCAGGCTAATAGTAATACTAGGGAAGTTACTCGTTATACTCAAAGATAATATGCACCCTTCACGTACGAAGGGAAATAAACTGAAATATCCACTCGAGCGTCTTGAACTTTATTTATCTTTTCCCAGCATATCATCTAAGACTAAGAATGAATGGTTTATACGTGGCATGCAACGAAACTGGCGTGATGTAAAGTGAAATCGGCAAACAAATGGTAAATATCGACGCTAGAAGTAAAATACATAATGTACAACATAATAGAGGGAGGGCTATAATCTCTCGTCGGTTACCGCCATCTTTGAATTGCTAAAAGCCGGTCCAAATGAAGATTGTCCATGGTTTGGACAAAAAGTATTTATTTCTGTTTGCATTTCTTCACGCACATCAAAAATGCACTTCGTCTTCGAAAAAAAAGACAGATGTAAGCAGTAAATAATTTTTCGCATACGTTATGACTTGGCTCTTTGTGCCAAGATAGATTTAAGATAAATATTAGATTCAATCTAACGGGAGTAACGCCATCGCACATCTGAGGTCTTCTAGGCGCATCTAGACGGAATGGCTAGAATGATTACATTCAAAGTTCGTACATATGTAGTATATACCGTCTATTCTATGCAGCAATACTGCCAATAATGCAACCGTATGTGAGCCGTGTCCTTGGCCTTGTCCTTGGCTTAGGCACGAGTAGGCTAGTGGCCTAGTAGTAGTATGCTTGCCTTCGTGCATTTCAAATCTCAAAAAGTTGCAGCAAAAATTCTATCTGTTGGTAGTTTATTATGCTGCATACACTTAAGTCCATGATATTTTCAATACCATTTAACTACCTGCGTAGCGACGACATTAATAAACCATTTTGTGACCTTGGCTCGGGTAAAGTATTGGTATTGCCAAGGTCGAAGTCCGATTCACATAAGAATTATCCCTATATCGCCTGTAGGTATTTATTAATAAAAAATGGACAAATACTTTTCCATACTAACTCCACTGCTATTGTTTTTGCTAAAAATTGACTGCATACAAGAAAAACAACTATTGAGAGAGAACGTCCTTCTTTTTGAGTTGACGCACGTCATGAAAAGATGCAGCTACGCCTACGTTGTTGTCTGACAGCCTACGTTTAGTTTTAGCGCAACCTAGTTTTGATTAGGAGGCTAAAATGATTTGTAGTTACCATTATATAGACATGCTTGGCATATTTTTTATATTTTCACATTCAGGGGCCATATATGCAAATGAAAATTTTAGGTTGAAACCTTACTTTGATCCGAAGGCTCGAACGGGCCTCTTTTTGGTCCGCCATTTTAGTTCGCCTTGTGTCCGTTTCTTTTCAGTAGGATTTTAAATCTAAAAACACGAAAAGAAATAAAAAAATGATGACACACTTTCCTAAGAAATTTCATTTTACTTTTATAGAAAGGATGGCACTTACGTTTTCGCATATTTCTCAAGTACAAATATGTAAAAGTCCGTGCGTTTAGTTTTGAAAGCGACAACTTTTAACTGAACTGTCGCTCGCAAAAATTGCGCTAAAATGAGAAACTCCGTTACAGTGTACCACAGAGTTCCTTGGAACTAGAGTGATGCTTGTAAACATAAAAAAACCAACGTACTTGGATATGCTCCGTGAAAATTTCACTTTTTGATGACGGCAATTATCTGCGGTAGCTTCGATAACAGCTTACTTGTAAGGTTGCAGAATATCGAATGACCCGAGAAGAACGCAAACGCTGAAATGCATAAGTTGCTTGAGCATGCTTCATGCTGGTTCTGTTGCGTGATTGGCAGAAATTGCCGCTACAGGCTGTACATGATTTTGATTGGGCGTAGTAACCGAAGTTTTCGCACACTCGGGATACGTTAACACGGAACCCGACGAATTCAGGACCGAGCTCGCGTTCGTCTGATTTCCTTTTGTAAATATGTATATTTATCGTTTCCACCATGTGAACATCTTCACCTAAACCAGACGAATTCATGCGCGGTTTTAAAGTCGACCGGTCCTGTTTGAGTATAGCCTCAGTATTTCGAAAATAAATTAAAAGCTAGCCACCACATTTTGATTATCTGAACCCACCTTTCAAATTACTCTTTCTCCTGATGGCGAATATCTGCCATTGGGGGGACCAATTACCAGTGATATTTAGGAAAGAATTGATCTGTACTGTAACTGGTCAGTGATTAGGCCACAAATTACGTCACAACTTTGTCGCTTTCAATTTATAGGATCATCTTAAATGAGATGGACTTCATGTTATACTCTCTATGTACAACGATGCAAAACATCCTTCTTCAACATATGCATGAGAGAGATTTTTTACTTTGAACGATACATGTGGAATAACCATGACACAAAAACGAGGCTCTGCCTTTGGCCCCTTAGCCTCGTTCACGTGTAATAACGGACTAAAGGCAGAGAATCACAAAAACCCTGAATGAGCTAGTAATCTTATTAAACCATCTTGATTTCTACATAACAACCTACGGCACACTTTAAAGCTACCCTTTACTGAAGCTTGTTTTCAATCCAATATTAACCATCATGATATATCATGACATTATTTCATTGTCTTTTAGTATCAACTGTCGAGGGTTTAGCGAAGATGTCCATGACGACAAAGAAACTTGTAACACACTACCTACTTCACATCTGGCACGTCATGCTCCTATCGTTTTTTGGCCTCGTGGACGTTTTTGCTAGGTATCAGTAGCCCCGTTTACGCTACAGTCAATTTATCAGCACGGCACGGCTAAAATTGGTACCCGTACCCAATTTTATTAGTGTTCAGGCTACCAAAACAAAGGCAGAGCACAGATGAAATGGGCACGGGTACCCATATTAGCCGTGCCGCGCCAATAAATCGAGTGTAGTGTAAACGGGGCTAGTATGCTGAAAATATCTTTCTATCCCAAGTCCCTAACGTTATCACACCTCCCTATTATTTGTGCATGAATAGCTAACCAATGATATAAAATTTCTGACATCAACTATCATCATAAAGATTGCAGCATGTGCATAAATATTTTCCCTTAATGCACTGCAAGCATCCAGCATAAAGATTGAAAAGGACGAAAGAAAAACGACTGATAACATGACTTTTGGCTTCACTGCTCATAGCCCGTTTTTCACTAGGTGGATTTGTTTGCGCAAACTGATTTCAGATTTGTGGAAAACGGGGTTATACCCGCCTTCGAATAGAGTCTTGTCACTGCAAGTATTGTGAATACATGTATTTTCTATATCCGCACGACACATCGGTTCTAACTTTGCCCGTCGCCTAATTTTATTTTATCAATTTGCCTGTAATATACTCAAACCGCCAAAACCGCCATATAATAATCCAATAGGAAAGTTAATTTTTTAGAAAGTAATTTGATCTTTAAGCTTATCTTACGTACATGTACCATCTTCAGGCATCAAACGTAGTTTTTCTATACCCTACTGTGAATATGTTTTCGACTGTGAATATTTCGACTGTGAATATGTCTGTGTGATACTCAGTATGATACTCCAATTCTTGACCGTAGATTATAGTTGAGAGTATCACTATCAGAAAGTAAATTGCCCTGGGTCCGGGTGTTTGAAAGATATTATCGATTTGCTATTATCAATTTAGTGAAGAGTGTGCTGAAATATTTAGATGTAAATTACTAAATAGTTTAGTTTAAAATGGAAGTAGCTACATGCATATTTAAAGATAAGATAACAAAATTTGAATAAAACCCCATAGATTCAGGGCAGTGGCAATGCACGGCAATTAGTACAGGGTGTATAAGAAAGGCAACCACTTATAATATTCATTCATGAATATTTGCTTTAGTGGCTTTCCATACGAACACAAAGGATTGGGTATTCATGAATTTTTGCGTTTTTAGTGCAGTTTGAAAAACTTTGCAGTATTGTGATGAGTGGCGAAAATTTAAACGAGTCAGTAAGTCAGTCAGTCCTTGTGTAAACTTTACGGGGGGTAAGCTAATTTATGCGTATAGTAACTTTTTGAACATGATCAGTAATTTAAAGTTTTTAAATCAGTTAAACTTACTTTATTTATATGCAATATCCCTTTTTCTAAGTTCACCAAAATATTGAGGTATTTTGACCGTTACTGTAAATTTTGAATCATTGCTTTTCCGTGGTTTGGGTTTAAAGAGATTTGCGTAGTTTACCCCCCGGAACACCCGATTTTTTCTTATACGTCGCAACTGCGAATGTGTCGTCGAGCCTTGAGGGTTGAACATTATTCACGATGTAAAGAAATGAGGAGCGACAAGCATTGCTTCAAAACATTCCGGGCGTAAAAATCGAGCAATTCTTTGAGAATCTATGCAATTTATCAACTTATATTATGAATTACGAGCATTCAATTCAACACAAATATAATTTGGAAGGTTTATTCCATAAATAGAGCTAAGAGGCTAGGAAGAAACAACGTTTTGTCGATTGTGTTGTTTATGTATTGATAGATCTCTTACACGAATATATATTATGTCGATAGCAAGTCGATACCTTGTATTCTGCATACAGTACATAAATGATCATACAGTACATAAATGATACTATACAAAATGGACATTTTGCGCAGTAATCAAATCATTTTGGCGGTATACAGTATTGATTATAAGTATGTTGTTTTGTATCGATTTACGCGTCGAAGTATCCACATCATAGACATAATATGCACCGCGGTTTTAATAGTTACATTATTTACAACGCAACTATTTTGGCTATTCTTATGAAATGACGGATAAATTGTTGCCATCATATAAATGTACTGAATGTAGTTACAGTTGTTTGACGAAGAAAATAGACTAAACTGAGAAAATCGCGCCCGGTTTACATGGGCAACTAAAATTATAATTTAATAGTGACAATATCCGCGACTAACGTAACTTGAGTACTTTGAGTAATTTACTGTTGATTAATGTTTAACCTAGTTCATCAAATGTTTATGTTGGGACAAACGTCTGGTTGCTCAGGTACTACAGGGCATGGAAACTTTGCACTATCCTTGGATCCCCAGTTTATACACCCTGTGTGTTACCCGTGGTGTTACTAAAGAAATAGAAAACATTTTCCATGTTTCTATACAGTTTTAGTATACACCCGACTATTGTCTATTTGCAAATCCTATATTCTGATTGGCTACTCAACAATTGTGATGGTGAACGTTTTGAAAAAATTTGCTCGCGCGAGCTTATAAAATTGAATTGATTAAATTATTTTCTCAAAATTAATATATCTAGGTACAGGGTATACTAAAACAATTAGACAACTCGCCCTCGTTGTCTATGATTGAATAATCAACTCAGGCTTCGCCTTCGTAGACTTTTCGCTCATAGACAACTCGGACTCGTTATCTAATTGTTAAATAGAAACACGCTTCTTGACCAATCAGCACGTGCGTACTATAAATGTTATATTATAAATTAAAAGATTATATAAAATCACATGCACAGCCTATAAAAGTTAACAAATGAAAACTATTTTTTGTTCATAACTACTTTATTCAAGAATGTTTCTCACATACATACATATGTGTGTTATAGCTAATTTCATATTAGAGACCGCCAGACCGGACACTATGTCTGACATGGTCTGTCAGACCATGACTGCCTGTTATATCCGAAAAGAACTAGATGAAAAATTTGGAAAAATTCATATTAGTATTATTATTATTAAATTCATATTATTATTATTATTATCGTTATTGTTGTTGTTGTTGTTGTTGTTGTTGTTGTTGTTGTTGTTGTTGTTGTTGTTGTTGTTGTTGTTGTTGTTGTTGTTATTGTTATTATTATTATTATTATTATTATTATTATTATTATTATTATTATTATTATTATTATTATTATTATTATTATTTATTATTATATTACATTTTCTGCCGCAGAAATAAAGAATGGGAAAATCCAAAATTACTAACTTTTTAAAATATCTGAACTTCTAAATCTATCTATATAAAGTAATATATATACATATATCGTCAATATTGATATAAATTATTGTTTTTGTTAAATATTAGGATATTAGTTGTGGTTCAAGTAGCCGATTGTAAATTACCTTGATAAAGTGAGATTTGCAATTGTATTATGTAAAAACAAAAGTCAAATAAAGTTTTCATTATTATTCATATTAGATTAGTTTTCCGTCGCTAATATGGTTGAAAAGGGCTGATAGGAAAGACCTGCAATGATAACTTCGTCCGAAATGAGCGTTTGGCCGACTTGGCCATGGACCCATACTGGCTTTAAGACTAATTTGACAAAAGCTGGTGATGTCACACCCGCCTAATGTGCGCCTTGTGTATAACTCGATTTAGCTATACTATAACAAATTCGCTAGCAATATGTACACCAAGTCACCAATGCTACTCGCGTGGTCCCGACGAAACTCACTTTCGGTTGGAATCGCACACCCTTCCCACGTCAAAAACATGCAGTTGTTGGTATCATTCATCAGTCATTTTGTCTGGCCGTGTAGACAGATGTAATTACTTGTCCCTGCTGTAATCTGCAGCACATTTCCTGTTGCCAGCGACTAGTAAATAAAAATGAATGTGTCTCTCGTCAAAATGTACAGTGTGTTTCCGAATTGGTCATGATTATATCTTTATTACGGGCCAACAATTTAACAGAAGCCTGTTTCTGGTTCCTGACCTGTTTGTTGGTTGGTGTTAATTAGAGTGGCAAACATGCATACATAATTAATATCTAATTAGCCCAAAATGGCCTAATGGAAATCTTTTAAATTATAACTGTTATTGCTTCCCAACATCCATTTCCCTCTATTGATATTAATAATTTTATTAACATTCTATATCGTCAATAAAATTATGCTCACTCAACTACAGGCTATGAAGTTTGTCAAAAATCATAAGATGCTAAAGCATGTCTTCAACAAGAAAAAGACTAAAAACCCACTTTTGCATGATGCAATAGATATATGGATCCTTAACTGCTCAAAACTTAGGATTTGTCTTATTTTCATAGTATACTAAAAGTAGTTTTAAGTGATAACTTAATTAACACTCGACCCTTGTAATTCACCTCAGAAAAAGCCCACAAGTTGCCATGCAATATTATGTATATATTTATATGTGTCTTATGTATATATCAATAATGTATATATCTATTTTAAGGTTTTCGAAGTAATAATTAATAGCCATTCAGATTAGCACTGAAGTGTGGAATTTAGAACTATACTAGATAGCTATTGTGATATTACTATTATTAAATAATAAATTACACACAATTAGTTTCTGTTACTTGTTGAAATATTTTTGGCAATGATTGTAGCAATAGATTGTTTGTATGAATAGATTCATCACAGACACAGAATCAAACTTTTATCATATTTATAGTTGATAGCAGAAATGCAGAATACAGTAAACAAGTGAAAAAAATTGAAGTTACTGATGATTAACCAAAAATATAAATTTTGTATTTTACCATAAATCCAGAGTCTTGTATGAATGGGGTTGAATCTCCTTACCAAATAATTTAGCTTGTGAAATCTATAGGCAAAGTAATTACTAATTACTTATTAGTATTTCGTGAATTCCAGGAGTCGGTTGTTCAAAAGCCGGTCAGCTTAACCCTGGGTTTAAGCAAATTTTTACATAATTTTTTAATTTTGGTTTGCAAAGTTATAAATATTTTCTGGACAGATAGAAGTGATTGTATTTTCTAAAGTTTTAAAACAAATAGTTGTTCAGAAGACATAAACTAAAACACTGGATTAAAATTTAACCCAGGGTTAGTGCTAACCTAGCTTTGAACAACCGGCTCCAGGTTATGAAAAAACATAGAAGCAACATGTTTTTGGAGTTAATAATTTTTTATTAGAAATAATTTTTGGTATTTGCAAATTGTGCCCTGTGAGTGCTCATGTGAAGATTGCTCACCAGTTGAGTCAAGGCTGTCAGTAAAACCAGGAACAGCGGAACAATGGAACGGGGAACACCGGAACAGTAAGAATCCGAAATAGAACAGCAAAAACATTGTTTTAAATATTGGCAAAAAAAATTGGGGATGATAGCTATAATGCTGTACATGTTAGTTGATGATAGCTATGATGCTGTGCATGCATAACAGTTATTCAGTCAAGTATTGCCAAGAAATTTGTCTGACCCTTGCTGTTCTTATACGGCAGCATTCTTGTTCGTTGTTTTTATATTATATATGATCAACTCCAGATGCGCATTTTATAGCAAAAGACGTCTAAGACGTTTGCTATACCCGGTATAATCTTTAAAACCCGACTTATGCGAATCATAATTTGTACTCAACTATTAAGGTAAGTTACGGCTCCTTGCTGCAAGCCAAGCGTTACAGCAGACATACACTGTATTCATGACTTTATTATTTTGCTAAAACCCAAACGCAAAAAATATCAAGTGCAATAAATACGTCAACAGTTATAATGAAAAATCTCCTGTTACAGATTCGCAATAAAGCGGAGCGAAGCGGAAAAGTCGATTAGTGACGAATACGAGTGCAAAAGGCAATATTCAAAACAGTCATTGTTTTACAGTATTATAGTATCACGCCAGATTTTTTTGCCAACTTTAAAAATATTGTTTTTGCGGTTTTGTGTTCCGCATGCTGTTTCAGAAACATCATTTCTGTTTCAGTCTTCCGCTGTTCCGTGTTCCCGTCTTCCGCTGTTCCTGAACCAATACCGTTGAGCAATGTAACAAAATTAAATGAGATGATTATATATCGGATTTACTGTTACGGTGTTTTTCAAGACTAAAATTGAATTTCTGAAACTGAAAATCTGAAATCACTTGGTGAATTAAAAATGGTCTCATGTGAGTATACTAACTAGCTTTGTTTATGATTGATTCATGATTGTCCATGCTAGTTATGATTTATTTTACATTATATTAATTAAAGCTAGCTTGTCAGTTGTCAACTGAAGGTATGCTAAGTGCTCAAACCTCCAGATTTTTGACGAATAATAACACTTCATAGAATATAAATAGATCTTAAGGCTGTTTTCCATTTCAATAGAATAATTGTGGTGTACATCATTGTTTCCTAACCACCCGGCTAGAACTAAACTCTGGAACTCATGACTTGGTAACAAAGAAATATGCTACAGTACGTATACATTTCGCTAGTCGCTACGAGATATACGGCTGTAATGGAAAACGGTCTTTAAACAACTTACTATCTTGACCACGCCTATAAGCTATTTTTTGTTTCTCGCCATTTCTTAAACTGCGTGGCTTTCCAATATTTTACTCTCTAGATTTATTAAAAACCCCCAGATTTATTGTATTTCTATCAGTATGAAGTTTGCCTTGTTTTAGTAATTAACAGCTCCTTACCCTTGGAATGCATGCTGTCAGCTTTTAATTTTAAATAGCCTAAAGTTAGGGGCATAAGGCTTGTCATGTTGCTTTATATATGGAATCTCCAGTGCTTTAATTTACAAGGGGTTTTATAGGTCTCTAAATTGAATTAATGATTTTCTGGTATCAAAACCAAGTTGGATGAAACTTTTTAATGATAAATATTAGCGGCCAATTTATAACTTTAAACAAAGCCATTTAAGTTTTTTCCGATTTAATTTGTAATGTAACTATAAATACCATGAACTATATATAAACTTTAAATAGGTCATCTATTTTTACCTAAGGTATAATTTTACATTAAGTCATAGTGAGAATAAAGAATAGATGGGGAAGTATGTGGGAATTAAAGTATGATACTCAGTTTGCCCTATAATAAATGAAAACATGTCAATTAAAAATATCATTCTTTGCAAATTTACATTGGATAGATGTTTTACAATGTGTCACACACCAAAAATTAAACTGTTTGCGTGCATATTGGTGAAATTTTTAATATTTATAAACTTCTGGTGTAGTAAAAACAAACAATTCAAAAAGAAATTAATGCAAAATGTGAATCAGTGAATATATGAATATTAGTCACTTAATACTTTTCCCCAGCCACTGCAAGCTTGGATTTAATCAATGCTGATATCTATGTATGTTATGTATGTCATTTGTGGGTATTTAAGACTAATAAAACATTAATTTTTACAAATAGACTTGAAATTACAAATAGACTTGAAATATTATTGAGCTATGCAGGTATATAAGGTCCCATACCAGAATGGTCCACTATTTTATCTGTGCTGAGAAGTGACGTACATTAATATGGCATCACAAGTAAAAAAAAAATTTAAAACGCAAGAATCCTAGAAGAGGTTGACCCAATAACCAGACATTCAAAGTCATAATCTCTTTTATTTGGATTTAACTAAACATATATCAAGCCTGTTAGAATTAAAGAAAGAAGCTACTGATATGTGGATATTTAATTAATAAAACATTCATGAAACTGGGTGCTAATACTTAATAGCTTATGTCTTATGCCTATACTTAATGGCTGCATAGTTTATGTGTGTGACCTAAAATGTATATAAATATAGTACAGGGGCTCTCCTTCCCGCTGCAACTAGCATTAAGTCTGCTACATGTTTATTTTAGTAAAAAAGTGTATATGCATTCACTACGGTATAATCATATTCACAATAATAGACAACACTAACTTTTTTCAGAATGTTTATAGTACCTACCACTTCTTTTTCTTTTCTAGAACTGGAGAAATAAATTTTCCATCTAGTACATAACCATCATCCGTTTGGAGTAGATTCAGTGGTGTGGTGAGTACCTGCAGATTAACTTTGTCTTTACCAAGCAATCGCACTGCTGTACAAAACTTTCAAATGCCAGACTGAAATGTTTGATATATACAAAGTGTCTAAAAAAAGGTAATCCAACTTTAGCGTGCTGGTGTGCGTGAATTACACTACAGAGGAGCATCATTTTTTGGTTTTGTAACAATAAAGTTCTAGCTATTGAATGCCGTGTTGTTTCTAAAATACAGGGTGTATCAAATACAGGGTGTATCATCTCATTTTTTTGAGACACCCTGTATGTGCAATGGGCATGCAAATTAACATCTCGCTTTCAATTTTATCCATCCGTGGGTTTAGTATTATAATAAGGCATTTAAATTCCAACAAAAGCTTAACTGCAACAGTAGGTACTTTCTTATACACCCTGTACAGAAGAAGAGTAAGGGAATGCAAGCATGTTAAATAATCTGAGTGGAAATCACATTCTTTCATCTCTGGGAATTAAGCTTGTACAAACCTTTTGAAAATGATTATAAGCCCTTTGGGGACTTTAGTCAGGAAATTACAGCCTAGCAACTACACAAAAGCAATGCATTGACATAATCAATGTGAAACTGCAAGAATTGTTCTCTTGGGATTGTTGAAACCTAGCTTTTACGAAACGGGGAACATTTCTGGTTGAAGGCATGTGGAATGGCATGTGGCCTTTTAAATAATCGCCTGTAAATACGTTTTGACACCTTTATTATTAATTTGTTTTTCTTTTGTCTCACTTGACTCAGAGGTGAAAATATGTGACTTTGACCAAGATTTTTAAATGCTCTCTCATTTTCTCATTTTCCCTCCATATTTTAAAAACAACATGGCATTTGATAGTTAAAACACTGTTCTTTCATAGTATAAATAGTATTTATATTTATATTCATAAGTTGAAGTTGGATTACCTTTTTTTTGAGACACCCTGCATGAATTAACAATTGATGAGTTCAAAAACAAACAATGTTCAATTGTATATCAGTGTTTTTATACCTCATTATCATCCTTTTTTGACAACATTTAAAAATTCTTCCTTGTTCAATGTTTCCTGTTTAATATTATATCATCTGATATATTTGAATATATTTGAACAATAAAATAATGATTTGGGTAAATAGTGGATAATTGATTTTACATACTTATTACTTACCAGCCTTTAAGGCTTCGTTGTTTCTTGTGAGATAATATTGTCTGCACTCAACATCAATCACATAGGTACGTTTTTCAAAAACTAGTTGATACGTTAAGAGGTTCATATTAAAACCATCAATATAAGATGACCAGGTCACATTAATTACATGACCTTTAGTAAAAGGTTATAATATTGTGGTTATTCATGTGCCAATTTGTAATGTGTTAAATCCTGTTGTTAGTCCCCCCAAAAGCTCCATTGATCGACTTAAGCACAGGGTGCTTCACTAATTACTAATTCTTTTGGGATGAATTTTAAACAGATTCCAAAGCTCAATGCTATACTTTCTGGGCCATTTCTCAGTAAAGATATGTCCATTTTGTAATTCATAGCTACAACTTGTTTATTATTATGTTGCTAAGGAAAACCACACTTGAAGTTGATCATCTGTTATTCCATCGAGAAGAATCAACACACTGAAGTCACAAACTTTAGTTGGTAAATGGCGAAAAGTTGAAAGCGTCCAAATTTGCGTTTACCTTTATTTTGTCAGGGGTAGGTAAGCTGCTCATTGTTTTGTAATAGCCATTGTAACTTTTGTTAACATTACACTATCTCACCTGACAAGGCAAGAAAAATAAGTACAGCCGGCTGCCTGTGAACAAAAGTCAGCAACCTTATTCTCCAACATCTGGTATCAATTTTCTCACCTAGAAGTTTGATTGTATTTCCACTGGTTTCCTCAGAGAAGAGAAATAAATGAGACCGGATTTCCAGCAGCCAGCGCAGTTTTGGTCGCATGAGAATTTTCTATTTTGTTCGTTTTGTATTATAAAATCACAACATTGATGCATCATTGCATGATAAATTGTGAAAATATGTATAATATGAGGAAATATTGTTTATAATTCTTGTGAAAAGTGACCGATCTAAGAGGTCCGTTTTGCTAATGTGGCCATGATTAGCGGCTATTAGGGCCTGAATTCTATTGCAGCTACTTAATAATAACTTCGCACCAAATGTGGTATAACAACTTCCTAAATAGACAAAAAACGCTCTCCTTATAGGTCGAAACGTCGAGAAGTGTTTCTTTGTCCGGACGGGGACCCTTAGGTCGAGAAGTGTTTTTTTTGTCTATTTCAGTAGACAGTTGTTACACCACATTTGATGCGAAGTTATTCTTAAATGGATACGGTAATTGTTAAGATAAACGTTAATATTCAAATGACGTCAGTCTATCTATGAACACGTGTCATGATCACATGAACACTAGCAGTATAAAGTTTTGTTTCATGTAGTTGTTAAGTTAGTTGGAACTGTTCAAGTAGTTGAACTGTTGTAGTTGACTCCAGTACTTGTAAGTTGTATAAGTTTTCGTTAATAAATATTGTTATATATAAGTCTTCCACCGTCATGAGTTTAACAGGTTATGGGCCCAGTCACAGTCATGGCCGCTTATTGTTCGACGGTGATGAACGAAAGTACGAGTTATGGGAAGTAAAGTTTCTAGGGTATCTGAGGCTCGAAAAATTAATCGATACCATACAAGGACCATTGGCTGACGATGCGTATGAAGAACAAGTACGAACAGACACAACCAAAAACGCGGACGCATTTGCCAAACTGATACAAGTACTAGATGATCGCAGTCTGTCGCTAATTATCCGAGACGCAGTGAATGATGCATGGACGAAAGGCCCTGGCAATCCTGCGTGAACATTATATATCGAAGGGCAAACCACGTGTTTTATCCCTATACACTGAACTAACCTCTCTTACAAAATCGAGCAAAGAATCTGACAGATTACATGCTGCGGGCAGAGACAGCATCCACATCTCTAAAATCCGCGAATAAAGCAAACACTGTATCAAGCTTTCACACAGCACAAGCCAAATATTCAGAACATGCATATTTTTTGTACCGTTTGCTATGCATACAAACAGGAAAAGAAGAAACTAGATGCGAGAGGGGAGCAAGGAATATTTGTTGGGTACGATAAGGGAAGTCCAGCTTACCTAGTATACTTTCCCCAAACCGAAACTATTAAACGTTTTTGCAGAATCCACAATCAATCCCGCGCACACTGGTCCACGTAAAAAAAACCACTCAGGGGACTGTATTCTATCGTTTATTTTAAGATTCTATTTACAGCGTGAGTTCATGCTTCCTCTACGATCTGACTCAATAATGGTATCAAAATTCAATGCAAACGTTAATTAATAGTGCTATATTACATTACAACGTGTCTTTGTGCCGAATCAACAATGTGTCCTTGTGACGTATTTACAAACAACTAAACTATATTTACATAAAGTGCTCTCGTAACTGCTGCACGTGGAACTGGCGGCGCTGCGCGGGGACCTACAACATCCCACCCACCTTGATTCATACACGTCTATGAATCAAGCATCACCCTTGTCTTCGCTTTTAAAATCTCAGCAGCAGCTCGTCTCGGACGCTCATGCAGATCATGCAAGGAACCCTCTGCCTCACTTGAAGGGGAATTCCCTTCCGTCCCGTTCCCACCCGGTCGAGCTTGAATTTCCAACGGGTAAAGTTTCTGCACCGGTCTTTTCAGGTAAACTGGTTTACCCTTTCCTGCTATTCTTAACTTAGTTCCCCTAACCTCGCTGTCATTTCCTAAAATTAGCTGTTCCACCTTCCCTAGTTTCCACTTGCCTCGCTTCTCTCCTTCTCCATAAACTACAACTACTTGGCCCTCCTTCAAACTTCTTGCCTTTCGATTACCACTTTTATGAAATTCTCGTAACCCTATGAGATACTCACTTTGCCATCTGGTCCAGAAATGTTGTAATTTCAATGTAATATATTTGAATCTTTCTCCACAACTACTTTCCTCCCTAGCTACCTCCCTCCGTGGTATGAAATTAATTGCTCTTCCGTAAATTAAGTGTGATGGCGTTAATACATCGCCTTCGAATTCTTCATATTCTTCTGTCAATGGTCTGGAATTTAATGTGCCTTCTATCTCTACTAATACTGTGTTAAGTTCATCTACTGTTAATTTGGCATTGCCTAAAACCTTCCTGAGGCATCGTTTAACACTCCTAACCATTCGCTCGAAAAACCCTCCCCACCAAGGCGATCTTTCTAAGTTAAACCTCCAAGTTACTCGCTTCGTTAATAATTCTGCTTTTACTTTAGGTTGATTAAACAACTTCTGTATTGCTCTCTCTGCTGCCTTAAACGTCTTGGCGTTGTCTGACACTATTAGGCTCAGCATTCCTCTCCTCGCTGCAAATCTTCTCATGCAACACAGAAATGTCTCCGCAGACAAATCACGCACTAGCTCTAAATGTATTGCTCAAGTCACACAACAGGAAAATAATGCGATATACGCCTTCTTGGATGCCTTGGTGCAACACCTAACAAACAATGGACCTGCAAAATCACCTCCCACATTAGAAAAAGGAGCAGCTTCCTTCACTCGAAAGCCTGGTAAATCTGTCTCCCCCCATATGCCCTTCCTTCTAATTTCTTACAGGTGACGCATTTACCTATAACTCGCTTTACCATTTGCCTTCCCTTCACGGCCCAATATTTCGTCCTTAGCCTGCCCAAGGTTGCCCTAACCCCACAATGGTGCACTTCACTGTGACATTTTCTGACAATCAGCTCAGTTAATCTATTATCCTTGGGAATAATGATTTGGTGTTTCGTGTTGTACTCTAGCTCAGAATTACGCAGTCAACCCTTACATCTTATGATACCTCCTTCTTCCATCAAGCCTAGACTGTTACTAATCTGGGCGTACTTTTTAGCCTCCTTTAACTCTGCCTGAGCCTGTTTAATCCATCTATTTTCCGCCTCGTCAAGCTCCTCTACTGTCAACTCTCCACAGGGCTTTTCCATGCCCTTAGACTTTGCTCGTGCATTGAACCCAAACCTAAGTACCCATGCTGTTACTCTGAAAAGTCGTTCCGCTGTCCCATAATCCTCCAGATTTATCACTTTGCTTATACTAGCTAACTCTTTACTACTAGCTGGACTTATTATCCCTAGAGGATCGAACAAACTGGCTAAAATGCTCAGGAGGTTCCGCTTTGTTGGCGATAAGGTCTCTGCCTTTTCTCCCACCTTGGAAATTTCAAATTTCAGTTCGTCCTTGTGGTTATCCCACACCTGCCCTAAAACCTTATGGCCCTTTGACTCACCCCCTACTGCTCCCAAAGATAACCTAGCATATGTTTCCTGATCATTGATGCTTTGTTCTGACGAACCCTGATCTTTTTTGTGAATCTCTAGTTTGCTCCTTAACACCTCACTGTTGGTCGACCACTTCCTTAATCTAAAACCCCCTTGTGCCATTCTTGTCTTAGCCTTATCATAAAGTTCAAAGGTCTTCTCTACCGTACATTCACCACTGACCAGGTCGTCAACGTAAAAACTTTCCTGCAACTTTCTTACAAATGCAGCATCTATTTCGTTATACTTTGTTAAATGATGCCTTAAGGTTGCATTCAGTAGAAATGGTGATGCATTCACTCCAAAAACTACTCTACAAAACCTATAGACAACTGTCTCCAACATATCACTTTCTATATCATTAACCCACAAAAATCTCAAACAATCTCTATCCGCCTTATCTACTTCAACATTCAAAAATGCCTTTTCTATGTCACCAACTAAAGCAATCCTATTTTCTCTGAACCGTATTAATATGCTGTATAATTATGGATTGAGAGAAGGCCCAACATGTAGGCAGTCGTTAAGCGATGTCCCAGACTTACCTTCCTTGGATGATGCGTCATAGACGATCCGGAGTTTAGTGGTCACTGCCTCCCTGCGAATAACTGCCTGGTGTGGTAAATAATGAACCCTTTCAACCTTCTCTAATGCAGATACTGGCTCCACTATCCCTCGCTCCACCTGGTCTCTGATGATAGAATCATACTCTGCTAACAATGCTGGCTCTTTCTTCAGTTGTCGCAGTTGACCCTTCATTCTACTTAAGCTATTTGCATAATTGTCAGGCAACTTCTTATGGCTCTCCTTCCAGGGCAGTTTGACTGAATATCTACTTCCTGTCAATGATATTTCATCTAAAAACTCTTCATGCACCTTATCTTCCTCACTAATGCCTAACCCTTCAAAACTCCATAATTTTTGCACATTACTCTCCAAACTGTCTTCACTACTCAATCTCTGCGCTACAAAATTCACTTGGACTGGCTCTGCTCTCTCAATGTCTTGTACTTTCAGCGGTGCTGATAAAACCCACCCTAATTCTGTTTCTATAGCAACAGGTTCTCCTGATTTACCTCTCTTGGTTGTCCCTGTCTGAAAGCTCCAAAGGTAGTCTGCTCCTATCAGAACATCTACTTCTAACTCATCTTCTGACTTAGAAACATCTGAAAACCATATACCTTCCAGATGTTTATACTCCCTCCGTGCCATCTCTACATGGCTATTTCCTATGGTACATATTTCCGGCACTACAAATGCTTCCAGTGTGATAACCTTATTTCCGTTAAGAGGTTCAAGCT